GGAAGAGCAGGACAAGCCGGCGCCGGGCCTGGCTGGCGTGGACCGGACGAGGCCAGCCAGGTCATGAGGGCCTGCGAGCAGAGCCTCACTCACCTCGTGGCCTGAGGAGGCCCCGATGGGAGAGGAGGAGGCCCCTGAGGTGGGGGTCCCCCGCGTCCAGGAGCCGACGAGTGAGTTCTGTGCTGCGCGTGGAGTGGAGGTGGCGGAGATGCTGAGCCGAACAACGCAACAGAGGATGGGAGCGATTGGTCGCGCGCACGACTGATTGCTCGCCGGCGCCTCTTTCTGCAGCTCTCTCCCCGCCTGCCCACCACCGCACGCACGCACCTCACTCGACGACGACGACCTCTTCCCAACCGCACACGCACGCACCGCATCGCCGCCGCCGCCGCCATTCGCCCAGCATCACCGCCTCGCCGCCGCCTTCGCACGCACGCGCCCTTCGACAGCACGCCCCCCTTCGTCCACGCGAACGACCAGCAGCAAGCCCCCCATAATTTTACCCCTCCCCACCATGTACATATGCGGCCACCCTACCCTTTTTATCCTCCAAATATATACATACTCCTACAGTGCTTGCACATGTTTCTGGTGTTTGTGGCAAACACCAACCAGCCTCCACCCATTGATGATTATCGGTTGCGCCCTCGGTCTTTTTTCTGTACCCGATAGCTTGCGCCAACCACGGCTCTTCCCGCTCAATAAACCGCCAATCGGCGTTTACCTCCGGATTTTTCCTCCAGCCGGCTGGAAGTACTTGGAAAATGAGAATTTTCCGCTTCAAACGCCGCTAGCACGAGACAGAAGCTTCTCCTCTTTGTCGCCTTCGCCACTGCAGTGTAGAACTACATCGCGGGAGGCGTGTGCGCAACTGCGGCAGGCATGTACGATTCGGCGACCCTCGATGAACTGCTCCCCGTCCCCGCGGAGAAGCGCGGCCTGCTCGCGACAGACACGGTCAGCGCGCCAGCAGCGCCTGTGGTGAACCACCTCAAGGTGACACTCGTGCTCGTGCTCATACAGGTACACGTCCTCCCTCCTCTTCTCGCCTCATTTTCCCGCCACGGAAGGAAGGTGAGGATGAAGATGGGAGATGAGTGCATTTCTTCGAGAAAAAAATAATAAATAAAAATAGTGCACATGTACCTAGAATCAAAATAAATACAAATAATAAAAATGCGCGAAGCCACA